ATCCACATGCCCGGAGAAAGTAACGCTGGAGACTTACAAATTCTTATGCACCCTAGACTTCCAAGAATATTCAAAAACATGGTTGACCTGGGCTTGTAGTGTAAACCCCTTAGTAAGACAACTGTTGTTGGGGTGCTACCTGTTAAATCATGAACGGTGGTTGGCATTCTAGGGTATAAGTTTGGATGAATTTGTTCCCCCTGCCCCAGGGATGGGATCTGCCCCAGGGATGGGATCTGCATCCCATCAGGCTGCCAGTCGACGACTGAGGACATGGCAGTGTGATCGAAATCAGGAGAGCCTCCAGAGTGTTGGATCCTTTTGGGGCTTGATTCAATAGCCATCGCCAGCAACCAAACAGAAGACTGGTGACAAGTTGGAAATGGGATGTTCCCCCCAACGATGACAACAGCAGCGCAGCTCACGGATGATCATGCCCTACCATGAGGAAGAACATGCCGACACCAACGATGGAAGTGGACCAAAAGTCTCTTGGAAGACTCCTTTCCTTTACACAGACCCTAGTGACCCTAGGCCTTCAAGTACGTTCGTTTCGATGTTTCTTGGGACCGTCCAATCTGAGGAGCTACGTGGACCAACCTGATCCACCGGAGCAAGTTTCACCCAACTGGCACCCCGATATGTTGGGTAGACCAGCATCATGATGGTGAGTAAAGGGCCTTTGGCCTTTGATCCCAAAAGTCAACAATATGATGTTGCGTTCTTTTGCAGCCTCTGTCTGGTTTTTAAGACTTAATGATGCTTGCAGTTTGTTGCAGAAGTCCTTCTTGCAAAAATGATCCCTGATAATTGGCATGCTGTGGCGCATGCATGCACATGCATTCCTCCAAACACCTCCAGAAAAAAAAAGGTCCCGTGTTGCTCCACCGAAGGCTTCCGAACAGGACCGAACAGCTGGAGCTTCCAGCTGTCCCATCAACCTGCTGGTCCTACTGGTCCTACTGGATCCAACCGGCTGGTCCAGTCCAATCAGCGAAAGCGATCTGAATCCAGTCCAGTTGGACCTCATGGAGTGCTCAGTTGACAAACATGCAAGCAAGCAAGCAAACAACCGGACGTGACATAATTGTTTGGGATTTATTTGGGATTACTTTCAAAGTTTGGAGCATGCAGCATTCTTTTGCTGATTGAGATCACTATTTCTAAACCTCGAGGCAAACCTTCTTCAACGCCTGAGGTTCCGGTTTTCCACCTGTCATTCGCAGCCACCCCTGGTCGACCGGTTTCCTTCCGCGCCCAGATCCCAAGATCCCACGGATTCCCACGGCCTGTCGCTTGCCTTTCAACCTGGTGAAGTCCAACTTCGGCACCGGGGATGCCTTGGCACCCACCTGCCTCAGCGGACCGAATCGGTGAAGGAGCTGAGAGGGATGGGGGAACACTCCGTGAGCCGAAAACGAGTGGCGGACGATTGGAAGGTGTTGGCCACAAAGAGCTACACCTGTGCAAGCAGCACCTGCAAGGTGTGCGTTCTGAGGGGAGATGTTGCCTCAAGAACTCTGACGCGCTCGTTTTACCCTGCACCAAACATGTGCCGTTTCGCTCTTTGAAAAGCTATGTTCCACTGGACATACTTGACCTAGTCGACGTAGGCAGCTAGTCACCAAAAACTAGGCTTCCGGTGGTGGATGGAACAATAACAATCGCCTTCTGCATCCTACTTCGAGGCCTTATTCAACATCCGTTCACTTCAAAAATATCTGACGTCGTCCGCACCCCACGTCACGAATCAGGCTGTGCAAACTTCTCATGTTTTGACGCAGGGCACCCCTTGAAAACTCAATCGGGTCCTCTGTCCAATGTCTCAAGACCCATTCCGCAGTGGGAAAGGCTGCAAGTGATTCAATTCAGCCAGATTGTGTAAATTGTTTCCGAACACAAGCAACATTGGTGCATGTTTGTCATCCTTACCCTATAGCCTTCGAAGACCATGAACAGAAAGGTTGGGTTTGTAGTCCAAGCATCCTAATGAAAACAACAGTTGTTTGGTTAAGGCCCTTAAGTCAATGGTGGTTGGATTATTTGTTCAATCAAAGAGCTGCCTCTGTACGATGGGCTCATCGTCCTCCAAAGGCTCCGGTGGCACCTTGGGAGGCGCTAACATGGGCTCCTGAGCACGCGTGCGTATGCGTGCCCAAAGGTTCATGGGTTGGGCATCTGAAATTGAGGGTGGTTTATACTGGGTACATGTTCCAATGGTGACCATCCCCTGATGTGTTCATGGTAGTGGATACATTGGAATGTCGCCACCAGCACACCTAAACATGTCCAATTTCAATGTTAATGTGGTGGTGTTGACAAGTGTACCTCAAGCCTCAAATGAAATGTGCACGGTTCTAATTTCAATTGTTGGCAAAAAATTGGAGATTCAGAACAAGTCCAGATCATAGAGGAATTGCACTTCTTCCTCATCCTCATCCTCGAGTCACCCCAAGTCATTTCGATGGTGGCAAACACTTGTTCCTCGCCCATTGCCACTTGTTCGCACGGATGAGCGTGCTCGAGGAGGCCCCTCATTCCCGAAGGCTGCGCTGACGATTTTTCGTGCACGATCATGCATAGGCATAGGGAACCGGAGGTGTATTTTTCTCCACGAATGCCTGGGGTGTTGGAATCCATACATTTCCAGCTGTGGTTCTGTGTGTGTATATATAGTGAGAATTGGACAAGCTTAGAAACAGCAAAGCCAACTA